AATTTACCAAACACTTTTCTATAACCAGCTAATGCTATCAACAACTCAAACCCACTAACCCAATCAGCTAACAGCCATTTACCAAACACCCTCATGTCTTCTAGTCTAGGTACATAAACTCATAGCAAGAAATATATAATATTTTATAGGTATTTTTCATCACATATTAAGTACATAATTTATACTCTCGAGGCACATAAACTCGTTACTAAAGATACATAAAACTAAACTACTCCAAATCATCTACATAAAAAGGGAAAATGGCACTTTTTTCCCCTGAGTTATATACTTATAGCATTTTTCCCCCCTCAATTATTCAAGTGGCTGTTTTCCCCCCTAAAATGTTAAATGGACATATTTACCCTTAAAATAAATATTTTATTTATTTTTCTTCTCCAACAAATTATGACCATAATTTGGTTCAAACCAAATAAACACTATAGCAACAAAACCGAAATATTCCAATTACAATTTAGAATCGAAACTCGATAATTAGAGTTTATTAAAATCCCGAAACGGACGATTCGTGTTCCGAACTGAAAAAATAAAATACATTTATTGTTAAATTTAAACTACTTTTAAAATAAAAATAAAATTTTAAAATAAAAACGGCTCAAAATCGCGAATCGGGTCCGGAACCGCCGGTTCACGGTTCAGGATCCAATTTTTTTGATTCATAATTTTAATAAATTGAAATCCAAATATTGGGTTCTAGATCTGAATCATAACTGGAAACTTTTAATTCGATTGCTATAGTGTCCGATTCAGTTCGAACCGAATTGGAGAAGTAAAATAAATAAAATGTTTATTTTAAGGGTATAAATGTCAATTTAATATATTAGGAGGGAAAAACCACCACTTTTAGAATAATTGAAGGGGCTAATGTGTTTACCTAAATAATTGAGGGGAAAAAAAGTGCTATAAGTATATAACTCATGGAAAAAAAGTGTAACCATATTCAAACTACCGAGGCCTAAACAAGATCCACAACATCTCGAATAGCAACTCAATCGTAATAACTCAACAATAATTCAACAATAATTATAGAGACCTTCTCAGTAAGTAATCACAGAATCTCGAAACAACAAATAATTCAAGCAATTGCCTAAAAGCATATAAAAATCTTGAAACAACAAATCATATTGATCGCAACTGTAAAAAAAAAAAAAAAAAAAAAAAAAAAAAAAAAAAAAAAAAAAAAAAAAACTTGAAATCGACTCATCGATAGCTAAGCCAAACAACGCAAGGAAAACCATGAAGAAAAATTCAAAGAGCAACAATTTGAAAATCTAGAGAACAACGACTGAGGAAAAAAAAAAAAGAAAAAGAAAATCAACAATTATTGAAAACGGAAAAAAGAAAACCGTTAACATAAAAATAGACTCCGTCTACAACTCTACAACATCGTAATTTTGGACAAAGGCTCACAATACTATATGACCCTTTTTCACGATACAATTTGCCTCAAACGCGCTCTAAGCTTATATTGTAGCAAATTATACTGTGGACTACCGTGGACCGTAGTATACTGAAGTTTCATTTCAATACAACTATAGTTTCATTTCGATATAATTACAGTTTCATTCAACATTATACACTTAAATATGTAAAATTGTTATTCAGTTTTATTTTATATACACTATAGTTTCCTTACAACACAACTACATTATCATTTCGATGTAACTACAGTTTCAATGGACAATATACACTCAAATATATGAAACTGTTATTCAGTTTCATTTTATATACACTGCAGTTTCATTTCAACACAACTACAACCAGGGACGGAGGTAAGTGTATGTTTAGGGGGGCCTTGGCCCCCCTCCCCCACCCCAAAAATTTTTAATATTATATATGTATTAATTTTTTTTTTTAAAATATTATATAGAATTTTAAAATTTTGTTGTTTTTTCAAAATATTTGGCCCCCCTCCACTTAATTAATCTTACAGGTAAAGTTATAAATTTTTTCATCTTCTCAACTTTTTCAGTTCTCTCTTATTTCAAATTATGTATTCCATATATTGTTGACTCACATTCAAATTAAATTTCATTTAACCTACTTACTAGTTTCTCTGCGTAGAACCATGCATATATGCGGCATATACGTTATAATAAGATAATTTGTCATTAACAAAATCTATGCATATTTTTCAAGTTAATTTTTATTTTTTATTTTTTATTTATAACTACTTGTTTAGTTAATTTTTGTTTCATATTCTATTGTTTATCTTAAATAATTGTTTTGTTTGATTCTAAATCATGGATATCAAGTGCATTTGTTTGATTAATTATGTAAATTTGTGGTTGTGTGATAAATTTTGTATTTAATTTAAAATGCATAATAATGTAACAATTGTGTAGTATATGTATTTGAGAAAACAATTGCTATTATGTTATGTTGTGAAGAGAGTTTTTCAAGAAATAATCAATAGTCTTTTAAAACATGCGTGAATGTTTTCATTTCTTTCAACCGTACAATGCAAAGTAATATGCATTGAAAAGCATATTGCAAAATAATTTAATATAGATTCAATTATAAATAATTTATTCTAAATTTTATTGAATTTGTAATGTAATGATTATTTTGAGATATGTTAACGGGATATCAATGTATTTAATTTAGTACTTCAATCGTAGTTCGGCCCCCCGCATTGTTCCGTCCTGGCTCCGTCCCTGACTACAACTTCATTTCTATATAACTACAATTTCATTCGACATTATACACTCATATATGTGAAACTGTTATTCAGATTCATTTTATATACACTGCAGTTTTATTTCAAAACAACTACAGTTTCATTTCAATTCAATTAAAGTTTCATTTGATAATATAAAAACATTATGTGAGGTAATTTGATTTTAGATATACTGTAGTTTCATTTTGTAATTAACACACTAAAAATACATGCTCCGTTAAATTGTAACGGCGGTCATTTTTTTATTTAAAGAAACGGCATCATTTTTTAACCATGGTCTACAAAGCTTTGTGGACCATGTCCACGATATAATTGTTGCAGACGTTATGCCATGGAACCGTGTTCACCATTCATGGTGAACACGGTTCCAACGGTGTTAGTGCACCGTTATCTTCTTCTTTTTTTTTTCTTTTTTTTCTTTTAATTAATTACGTGACTGCCTACACATTCACTTTGGAACCATGCCTACACATTCACTTTGGAACCATGAGATTATGAATTTTCTGTTATGAGATTATGAATTTTCTGTTATGAGATTATGAATTTTCTGTTATGCGATTATGAATTTTCTGTTATGAGATTATGAATTTTCATTACATTCATAATTTCGGAGTTTCGGACATTCATAAATTATGAATTCATGCATGCACATTCACTTTGGAACCATGCTTACATATTCCCGTCCGAAATCACGGACATTCATAAATTATGAATCCATGCCTGCACATTCACTTTGGAACCATGCCTACACATTCACTTTGGAACCATGAGATTATGAATTTTCTGTTATAAGATTATGAATTTTCTGTTATGAGATTATGATTTTTCAGTTGTGAGATTATGAATTTTCTGTTATGCGATTATGAATTTTCTGTTATGCGATTATGAATTTTCTGTTATGAGATTATGAATTTTCATAAAATTCATAATCTCATAACAGAAAATTCATAATTTGATCAGTAACGCGCCGTTAACTCCACATCCGCGATTTTTTTTTTTTTTTGCCTAAAAACGACGTCGTTTTGACTTGTGTTCACCATTCTCGGTGAACACGATTCCACGGCATAATTTGCGATAATTGTTGTTATATTGTTTTATGGATTGAGGTCCACGATATAATTGTTAGTTAATAGGGGTGGGAAGAGATTATTGGTCCAATGGGTAAAGCCCAATAAATCATTTTGATTTAAAAGAATGGGCTAACCCATCAAGAAAAGGCAAATTATACTGTGGAGTGTGGACCATAATCAACATTGTAATATAGACTATTGATATATATATATATATATATATATATATATTTTTTTTTTAAACCAGATAATATCAGATTGCATTAGCCTTATTAGGCTCAATAAAAGGCGGAGTAATATCCCTCCAAATAAAACGTGTAGATGTCGCACTTATATGTTTAGCTAACGAGTGAGTCGCCTGATTAGCGTATCTGCTAACATAACCAATTACAGTACCAGGTATGAATGAAATTAACTGTAAACAAGAGATTAAAATAAAGCCAACATACGAGCGAAAAGAATAAGTATAACTAAGACTTGAAACCAAAACCGAGCTGTTCGTGTAAAGTCTGACCACAGTGTAGCCATTATCCTTTAGACTTGATAAATGTTTATTTAAAAATGAACTTTTAAAAAATAAATATTCAGTTTGTTAAAAATAAACATTCAGTATACAAAAATTGAATTTTATATCAATAATCTACCTTTTAAAGTGAACCATGGTGCAGAGTATAATAAATTAATAATTGAATCGTTATTACATGGATCATGGTCTACACAGTCATGTAGACCACAAATAAAAAATATATTATTTGTGTACATAAAGTACATGATTTTGTATAATATCAAATAATGTATATTCAGTACACAAATAATATACTTTTAGTTATTAAAAATGTACTTTGTATTCAAGAAAAATATATGCTTACTAAAAATACATTATTTTGTGTAATATACATTTACTACACAAATAATATATTTTTAATATATTAAAAATGTACTTTTTAAGCTCCCCGCAACGCGGTGTGGAACATGATCCAAATGAAAATTTGCCATAATAATTATTATCAGGAGAATAGGTAGACCTAATTGGCTCCAGCAGTATAAATGGGATAATATTTGTTTAGGTCGAACTCCCCAATCCCCTATATTACATTATTAGGCTTGTATCACAACTTACAATATAATAATATTTATATTCATGTGCATTCCATCAAGGCATCAACGTTATATCTCTTATACTGCTACCTTCGTATTAACACAATTAAGATATCAAAAGCAAGCTAGCTCTCTTTTCAACAAAATGCTGAATTCTCAAAATCAATAGATTGCAAAGCTCTATTTTTTCAATTCAAATACAATGCCTTTCTACTTTCTATATACAAACTCACATTACAGCAGGGGCTCCCAACTAAGTTTGCTCCTCACTTTTTATTTAACTGAAAGCCTTTCCAAATCAATATGACTTTATAGTGATACATTTCTACCCAAACTACATGTGTTAGTATAACCTGACTATACGTAAGAATCTCGTGCATCGCCTAAAAAGATGCCAAATCGTCACAAGTATGAAAGAAAAAGAAAAAAAGACTAGTACAGATTTTACGCGGAATTTAATGCTTGTTGGTCTATCTTGATTATAAGAGACTGGTGGATATCTCCATGAGGATCTGCCATGACGGGAAGTTTAGTCGATGTCAATATGTCATCAACATCGTCATTTTCAGCTAATGCTTTTTCTAGAGCAGCCTTTGCAACCCTTGTAACAGAAACCATTAAAGTCACTGCAAAACAATGTTAAATAACCTTAAGATTCCAATCATAAGTACAAGCTAAAATGCTTTATCCTCAGGTTTCAAAAGTATAGCCAGTTGCTAATAGTTTTATGTTCCCAGAATGATGCAGGCAATCAAAATATTGAAGGAAGTTGTAAAACTTACCAGACACTAGGAAGCCCAAGGCAATGAATGCCTGCATGGTGAGAGTTAACTTTTATCATGAGAAAGCCCAAAAGAATTGTATCAATTCTTTTTTTTGCTCAAAATGTTGAAAGTTAGTATCTATATATTTATTCTACCAAATCATGTTATATAGAACTACCAAAAAAATAACAAATTGAGCTGTGCTTACCATACGGGATTTTGAAAATTCACTCCACCCATGACTTACATCAGAAAGATCCTTCAAAGTTGTTCCGACATACACCAGTGCAAAAGTAATTGGCTGCAGTGGGAACAGTAAATTGCTTATATAATCAATATACATATACATATACAAGGTTAGCAATAAGCAAAGGAGCGGGTCTATGTGGGATGTGGGCTAAGGACGATCTGTTCACTGGCTAGAGTCTCAGTTTACACTATCATTAAGTGGAACTATGCATTCGTTCCTAATATCACTGGAGCAGTTGTTTTAGTTATGGGACATTTTTAAATATTCTGTCAAGATTCTGAAATTGTGAGAAGAGTACAGTGCGGCACATAGGCCACTTCATATTTCATAGCTATAGCCCTAGGTTCAATCATAATGTTGGTCACATATTTTGTGAGGAACAAAGTAATGGAATCTCCATTCCAGGTCCTAATTCCTAACTAAGACTTGGTGCATCTTCTAGAGGTAGAAACCTAATTTACCATGTTCAACCAGTTAAGAAAGATTTAAAAGAATTTGTTGTATTACTCCCTTGTCTCAATGGAGAAACAACAGACATATATATACAGATTCAAAAGACAAAATCCTACAAACACAACTCTACACAACTCATCAAACATATTTCTACATACACAAATTTTGTGTTTCAACACTACCCTCAAGCTGAAGCATGTATATCATATGCACCAAGCTTGTTACAAATATATTCAATCCTATGACTTCTTAAAGCTTTAGTAAATATATCAGCTAATTGATTATTTGAGCCTACAAAAAATGTAGTAATATCTCCAGATGTAACTTTGTCTCGGACAAAATGGCAAACAATTTCAATGTGTTTCGTTCTTTCATAAAAAACTAGATTTGACGCAATACGCAGAGCTACTTGGTTATCACAAATGAGCTCATGGACTCCTTTGTACAAATCTTCAGTTTAGCGAGGAGATTTTTCAACCACATAAGTTCACATGTTCCAAGGGCCATAGATACATATTTGACTTCTGCCCTTAATCGAACAACAACATTTTGCATTTTTACTTTTCCAAGAGATTAAGTTGCCACCAATATCTAGATGTTGAATTTCTATCCCATGCACATCCTGCCCAATCTGCACTTTGTATACCCAATAATTTCAAGTTTTCCATGGTCTTTGTATAACAAACCAGTGCCTGGAGATTTCTTAATATATCATAAAATCCGAACGGCAGCTTCCCAGTGACTTTCACGTGGAAATGCCAAGACTTGACTAACAACACTTACCACAAAAAAGATATCAGGTCGAGTTACAGTTAAATAAAGTTATTTCCCTACCAGTCGTCTATATTTTCCTAGATCTTGGATAAGTTCCCCCTAATCTGGTAGGCGTTTGACATTTGAATCCATAGGAGTGTCAAGAGGTTAGCAATTCATCATACATGTTTCTTCTAGTATATCCAATGCATACTTTCTTTGTGATATGCAAATTCCTTGCTTGGATTGTGCTACTTCAATTCCCAAAAAATATTTTAATTTCCCGAGATCTTTTGTTTCAAAATTTTGGAATAAGTGTTGTTTCAACAATTGTATTCCTTCAATATCATCTTCTGTAATAATAGTATCATCTACATATACAAGATAAATGCTCTTACCATATTGATGTTTATAAAAGACAAAATAATCAACTTTGCTTCAATTTAAACCAAAATTTTGCACTATGTTGAACCTTCCAAACCAGGCACAAAGAGATTGTTTTAAGCCATAGAGAGAATGTTTAAGATTACAAACCAAGTCACTCTCCACCTGAGCAACAAACCCAAGAGGTTGCTCCATGTAGACTTCTTCCTCTAGATCTCCACGTAGAAAGGCACTTTTAATATCTAATTGATGCAAGGGCCAACGATGAATGGCAGCCATAGAAAGAAAGATTCTGACTAAAGCAATTTTAGCTACTAGTGAAATGTGTCAGTGTAATCAATCCCAAAAACCAGTGTATACCCCTTAGTGACCAGTCGTGCTTTAAGTCTATCAACCTGTCCATTGGGTCCAACTTTCACAGTATATATCCATCTGCAACCAACAACTGTTTTATATCAACCATAGCCTAGCGCCAACTGGGATGGGATCATGGGAAATGGCTTCTTCAACAGATTTAGGAGCAGAGACTCAAAGAGAAAAGATAAACATTTGATAAAAGCACTATATGAAGGAGAGACGATCATAAGAAATAAAGTTGTATATGGGAAAAGGGGTTTCGTGTTGACCTATTACCTACACAACTTGTGATGGGAGAGATTGTTGCTGGAAACGAGTCCAAGGGCAAAGATAGCTTGAGAGATGAATTAGTTGGGTTTTCATCGATTTGAACTGTCGTGGGTGGTCGTGAGCATTGATGATAAGTGTAAAGAAAGGGAGTGATACTGTTGTTTTGCACATGAAGTTCTGTAGGTAAGGGACTAGGATTTCTAAGTGATGATGGAGCTTTAGGTAAATGTACCTCCGTCCCTCCTTGAAAAGTAGGGACAGGAAGAACATATAGAAAGAGATCAAGTGAGGCCGGTGAGGTGGACGAAAAGAATGGTGTTGATTCAAAGAAAGTAACATTAGAAGATACATAAAACCGACGCTTATCAGGAGAAGAACATCTAAAACCTTTTTGCAACCTAGAGTACCCAACAAACATGCATTTTAAGGATTTTGGGGAAAATTTATCGCGCGCTAGGGTAGTGTCCCGAACAATTTTTATAAAGAGATTATGGAGAGGCTTACTGGGAAATAAATACTATAAGGTATCTTACCATGTAAACAGATGAAAGCATACGATTTATTAAATAACAGGAATGAAGGATAGTATTTGCCCAGAACTGTGGAGGAACTTTATAATGGAGAATCATGGCGCGGGCTATTTAAACAAACTCTAGCATTATCACTTCGAATGTTTTAATAGACACTCCAAACTAATTTGTTATTTCATTGACAAATTTTTGAAGAACATAAAGCATTTCAAAACAGTTTCGCATTACAAAGAACCATATACAACGAGAAAAATCATCAGCAAAGGTAACAAAGTATTTAAAATCAAGAATTAAACTAAAACAAAAATGTCCTCAAACATCAGTATGAACTAAGGAAAAAGGGGATGTGACTCTTTTATTAACACGATTAGGAAAAGATGTTCTAGAATGTTTGCCAAGTTGGCAGGCTTCACACTCTAGGGTAGATAATTGGGACAACCTTGGAACAAGTAGTCGTAATTTATTAAGGCTGGGATGTACTAGTCAGTTATGGGCAAGAGAAAGAGGAATGGTAGTAGTGCAAACCGTAGAAGGATTTGTTACCAAAAAGAAAATGGATTTCACAGATGGATTCGCGAATGACTGATGAGAAGATCTGGAAAATTTCACTGGAAAATCTTGCCGGATGTGGTCACACGCGCTGGTGCGTGAGGATGGAGGTCGACGACTATGGCGGCGCGTAGAGGAAGAGCCGGTGACAACGCTTGTTGGGTCAAGCTCGCCGAACTAGCGAAGACTTTTGAAGAGATGGGTAACACCAATTTGACAAAAACTCTTACCAATAACAAGTAATTCGAGAAAACAATTTCGAATGAATAGTAACTTTTACTGTTCACGAAATAAAAAAATCTTCCAAGTTTTGGCTTTTGATACCATGTTAAGAAAGATTTAGAAGAATTTGTTGTATTACTCCCTTGTCTCAATGGAGAGACAACAGACATATATAGTTATATACAGACTCAAAAGACACAATCCTACCGACACAACTCAACAGACATATTTCTACAGACACAACTTTTGTGTTTCAACACAACCTAGTGGTCAAATCCACCTAGTACTAACACAAAATAGTTCAGATTCTCCAAAACCAATTAAAGTTTAGTTAATATAGTTCTGTTTGGTTTTTAGGTGTTTGCTATAGAACTTTGTGAGTTTGCAAATAGCCTAGGAAGAACTAAAAGTTCCACACATAGGGAGAAGGAGATAGTGAGGCTACCATCATTCCCAGCCATGTTGCGAGTGCATATTCCCCAATTGGAACGGATGTCACCGACAAAAGGTAGTTCAGCAAGTTGAAAGGAAGTAAAGGAACGAGCCGGAGCAACAAAACAATCTATTAAATCAAATAAGACATAAAGTTAGTACAGAAATACTGTTTTTTTTTTCTTCTGCTTGTGAAAATTACATTAATGATGAGGCAAAAGATACAGATAGAGTCTGTTCTCCATTCTTGCTAACCTTAAAGCCAGATCTTTGAGTTGCAATCGCAACTGCACGAAACTGTGGGTAATCTTTTAATTTGGAAATGACAAATGACCTCCCAATCTGTCATGCCAGGAAAAAGAAAAGTGCAACAATCTCTTAAGAATAAAAAATCTCCAAGGGCCGATGAGAAGGAAACTTGCAATTCAAATATAGAACACTTGAGAGTACGAAGGCTAACAAGAGAAGGGGAAGCTTTAAATGTTTTTATGCTTGAATATGGAATAAGTATTTCTCTAGTTACAGACTAGGACAGATTGAATAAAAAGTACAGTATTATACAAATAATGGTGCATATTCAGCATATATTGTATCAGTATCCCCAGTTATTATTGTACAAATACACATCCTACATGGTGAAAAATAAATGCTTACAGTTCTACCGAGAAGGAATGCAGCAGCAGCCCCCATTGTAGCACCAATAGAATCAGCGAAAAAACCCACAGGCAGACCAAACAGATAACCACCACCTAACTGAAACAAATACAAATATACGAATATACGATATACTGATTTGAGTTTAACAATGAAGAATAAAATGGAAATATCATCATGTAGACTGTAGAGACAAAATGACACCTTAGAAGAAAATACAAATAACAAATAAATACTCACACACACACACACACATGATGATGATGATAACAACAACAACAACAAAAATTACTTATTCCATGGCAGTATAAGGGAAATCAAATGGTCACTTACCATTTATGTGCCCCTATTGATGTATCTATCCATTTCCTTTCAAAGATTGCTGAGTCTATTCAATAGCTTATATTTGATTGTAGCTAACTTAAATGATAAAGTTCCATCAGAATTTACTTTTAGATATTTTAAATATTTCTGTAACAAGTTCTACTTTTCTTTAGAAACACATTTTCATTACAGGTTATTATCTGAATATGATTGACTCAAAAAGCAAGCTTAAGGAAACATGAGGAAGAATAATGGGGAGAGAGAAGAGAAAGAGGAAACAAGTAACTGATTGGTCAATTGAGGCATACACTACATGACAATTACTCAAATATTCTAGAAATTAAGTACACAGATAAATTAGACAAGGAAGTGATCATGCTTCCTTGGATTAGAAATAGATACCAAATAAATGAGACAATGAGGTGAGCATGCTTCTTTGAACTAGAAATAGTTAGAAGTGTAATTAAAAATACATGGAATCCTTTAAATCTCTTACTGTAAGTACTGAAGCTGGAACAGCCAATACTGTGAGAGGAATATAGGCAAGAGCCCTGCAAGATCCACAAAACACGAATGACTGATGGGGCTACCTCTGCATTATCTGGAAGATCACTCATAGTTCTTTTAATTTAAGAACAACCAAAGCTAATTATAATACCTTTGGGTATAATGCCCAACCACAAGTGTAATGCCTATACAAAATGCTTTAACTTCCAAATTTCTAGTTTTTATCCAGTCCATCAAAAAACATGTAATATGTGAAACACATACACTAAGGACTCAACATGATTTTTAAATGGGATAAGGTACAAAACAACCATCCAACTTTTTAGGAAACAACAATTAAGCCACCCAACATGAAAAACACAAAGGAAACAAACAAACTCGGAAAATTCTTGCAATTGGCATTTTTAGCATGTAAAGTCTAAGTTACTGCTGAAGTGATGATCTACGTGGAATTTATTGTACTGATTTAGACTCTAAATTAGCTTTCCCTCTTCCACAACAAACAAATAATAATAATTAATAATTAATAATAATAATAATAACAATAATAATAATAATAACAACAACAACAACAACAACAACAACAACAATAATAATAATAATAATAATAATAATAATAGAATAAAAGCCTGCCCACAGCCATGGCCTGTATCTGTCATCCAAATCTGAGATTGGGCAAAAGAGATCATGGCCTTTTCAGATTTGGATGTCCAGATCTCAGATGAAGGCCACAGCCATCACTCCCTTGGCATGGCAGCAACAGCCATGGCCCTTTTTTTTAATAACTTGGTGCGGAGGTGGGAGATGAAGTAGGTGTCATCCTTGAAGGATGGAGTGCAGAGCGCTGAGCGCAGCAGCCAGGAGCACGTTGACTATGCTTTCCTTCATCCATCTAGATGAGGTGTGTTGAGAGCCATAGCTAGAATGGACAAAGAATCCATAGTTGGACTCTTTGTCCATCTAGACAAGGAGTCTGGAACTGGACTCCTTGTCCAAAATCCAAATTCCAATATGGATGAGGAGTCCAGCCAGCGTCAGTCCAACATACTGCAGGTATGGTACCTGGACTCCTCATCCAAAGCTGGATTCCTTGGAATCTGAAGGAAGGGTCCAACTCCATACTCTTTGTCCAGATTCCAATGGCCCGATGACGACATCTTTTTTTTTAAAAAAAAATTCAATAGATAGTGAATAGTCAATGTGAAGAAAGATTAGGTCAAGCCAAATCAGCGTGTATGTTAGCAAAAAAAGTGTTCACATAAGCCGCACATCAGCAATGCACTATTTTTCCAAGTTCAGATATGTTTTTCGAGCTTTTATGAGTTGGAAAGCTTAATTGCTACAGTATTTCCCAAAAAGTTGGATGGTTTATTTGTACTTTATCCCTTTTTGATTTATTATACAAAACAATAAATTTATACAATCAATATATATATTGGTTTCTGTTCCTTTTCCATCTCCCTAAATCAAAACCTTAAGGATCACACGACAATGTAATGTAGAATTGTAGATCATAGACTCTAAACTCCAAAACCCTGTCTAGGGCAAGATTGATAAGTGACATGTATATAAGTCATACTTACAGCATAAGAGGACCCCAAGGACCCAAGTCTTCTTTGACCCATATCAAGAAATTTTTCAAAATCTGCAAAAATCAAGGTTTTCTGAGAAACATTGGAAACTATAATTCTGAAATATAAGCAGTCAATCAGAATGCTAGTATATTCAAATTTTCTGTTGCAAATAAGGCAAACTTCTTTAATTTTCAAAGACAGCTAAATAAGATGCACATTGAAATGCTGAATCATATCTCTTGCTTTTTCAGCAAGGAAGTGCTTCAACAACTAGTATTCAATCACAGGCAAGCTGACTTGACATTTTCAAGTTATATAAGATTAGAAAGATACTGCAACTTCAGAGCTCAGATGTCAAGTCACCCACTTAAAGGAGAAGGTTAATCTTATAGTTGGCAAAAGGTGAAGTGGTCAACAATCGAGTGAGCATCAAGAACACAGCACTAAGCAGTAATAAGAGCATAATTTTTCCTTATATTTTCATATGGAAATTCAGACTCCAAGAAATCACCAACACAATGCTCAGACTTCATAAATGTTGAATGAAAAACTATTTAGCAGCACAAGGAGATTCTAAAATGACGAAACTAAGCAATGTAAAGCAATACCCAGATCACGATGACAAAGATCCAATCCAAAACAGTATGAATGAAGAGCGCATTCATTTAATTAAAACAGCTAAAAAAAAAACCAAGAGAACACTTAAATGTAAGAAATCGAGGGAAACTTATCCGACCCAGATAAGAAAAACAGGACCTTTTCAACAGGAAGAGTGAGGCAAACGATGGTAATGACAGTGATGAGGAAAAGAAGAAGGATGAATCTGAAAAGAGAGATCCAATTGAATGCCATAGAGAGCTTCTTACGCCAGGGTCTACTCTTCTGCTCGTCGTCTCCGGCCTCCCAAATGGCTTGTTTCAACGACAAGCGCGGCCTCAAATTCACCCCTCCCCCTAAATTTGCCAGATTTACAATATTCGAATCCAACAAATTATAAAAGATTTAGAGAACCAATGGCCATTCTGCCAGAAAAGAAATGAGCTATAAATGGGAAATATTGCTTTCACCAAATCATCACACACAAGTCAAAATACACGCAATGCGTGTTCTTGGTGTTGTGTGTGTGATCTGCTATATGGACTATGGTTTTGCTTTACTGTACGCGGAGACGATGTCTTCGGGTGCTTCTGCTGATGAATTCCCAACTCTCTTTACTCGGTAAAAAACGTAGAGAACTCTTATCCCCCAACCTTTTCTTACACACTTTTCGAAAAAAAAAAAAACTTTTCTTACACGTGCGGAACCGTGAAAGGGTGTTAATTGTACATTTGTACTCCCCCCTTGTTTTACTTCTTTTTATGTCCCATTTTATCTCAATTATTATTCATGAGCGAAAAAGGATCCAATAGATGATTAAACTTTACTCGAAATTATAATTAGGCTCATGAACTTTATACAAGTATAATTAAACATTTAAAGTTACAAAATAAGTCAAATAAGATCAATTTACCAGCCATCTTGATAATCGGTAAAACTATTACCGTTGACCACTGTTCACCTTCGTTTAAAATAAAAATATATATAAAAAAAATCAATTTCCGATGCCCTTCTCTATCCAAAAAAAAAAAAAAAAAACGATCAGTCGGTCATCTTTTCTGATGGATTAGGCCACCAATCTAGTCGCCTTCTCTAATGGAGAAGAATACAATCCGGTCTCCTTCTCTTGGTGAAGATGACCATTGGTCATATTCTCCATTGGAGAAGATGGCACCAGTTGCCTTCTCCAGTGGAGAAGACGATCGGTCTGGTGGTCTTCTCTATTGGAGAAGGCGACTAGACCACCAGAGAAGGTCACTGAATTTTTTTTTCAAATTGAACGGTTGTCGAAATTTTTTAGTCACCGAAATTATCATCGAAATTGTTTTTGAAATCCTAATGCCCGGTTATTCCAGGTGGATAACTGGTTACTAGGTTTAGATGCACCAAAATGACAAGTTTGAGTATTTAATTGCACTTTTTTAACTGGTTAAAGTCCAGAAGTCTAATTTCACTTTCAATTAAAGTTTAAGGACTTATTTGACCATTTTCCCAATTTAAAATAACTCCAGTCAAGTCTCATTAACTGAACTAGTTACATAAAATGAGACGAAGGGAGTATAATTTTAAAAAGTAACACATTTTGTCTTTAAATTATATGAAAGTAACGAGTAGCTATAATACGTTCATTGTGTAATTAAACTAACAAGTATTTTCACCCGTGCAATGCACGGAATGGATTTAATATTACAAATATTTGGATCGATATACAATTATTTAAATTATAACATCAAATACTCTGTATTATATAGTGCAATTGAAGATATGGGTTGGATCGCTTATATTTGTTGATGTTATCATTGCTTGAATTCAAGCAAGTAATTGCTCAAATTAATAGTTAATGTGTAGATATACGCATGCGGTGCTGTAACTTTAGAGATTTTTATATATCATTTGTTTATGATTTTTATAAATTGGGCAAATGTGCTCGTTCTCTAGCAACTTAGTTATAGTAATCAATTTCTATCATAAATAATTTGTATAAAGGATATATTTTTGTCTAGATATATAGCAATTTTGTCATTTAAAAAAAAAAAACATAATATCATCGATTGTATTTACACATTACTGAAAACCTCTTTGTAGACGATATTGGTAGTCGCAACACAATCTTGTCCATCATTGTCTAGAGCTAACACCTTCAGGCCATCAGGATGGGTAACTCGGGAGAAAGCCACGTACAATTGTCCGTGATTAAAGACCGGTTTTTTTAACAATAACCCAACGTGAGTTAGTGTTTGACCTTAGCTTTTGTTGATAGTCATGGCATATGCAAGCAGCAACGGGATTTGTTTACGCTGGAACTTGAAGGGCAATCTCGTATCAAAAGGAGTGAGATACATTCGGGGGATAAGAACTTTGGTTCCTTCATGTATCCCATTAACTATTCTTGGTTCGACAATGTGATTTACCAATCTTGTGATGATGAGTCGCGTCCCGTTATAAAGACCAAGATAGTGGTCTATGTTCTGCAATAATATAACAGGTGTACCGACCTTTAATGTCAATGAATGATTATAAAGACCCGACAATCTCAAACTATTTAAGAATTCAGGGTTATGTACTTCTGGTAGATTTTTACTATCTGGTTCTGCCTTACACAAAGAGTCACAACTTAAATATATTCGTCCTTCTGCAGTATTCATGTCACATATATACTAATTAATTTGATCAACGACATCTAAAGTCGATGAGAGGATCGTTCGGCCTTCTAGCTGCGACTCATCAAGTCGATAAGAGGATCGCTTGGCTATTAAAAAAAAATAGTGAATGAGGCTATTGTTTTCCATGTAACCATAAGACTATCTAGAAGCCTGTGGTCACCGTCAACACAACATCCTCAGAGCCTGACCAGATTTTCATGTTTGATATCAGATAATGCAAACATCTATGAGATGAACTCCCTCTCCACACGCAATAATTCCAATTTTTTGGCTTTGCTTTTCAAGAGTGTTAATGTATTGCTATTAGCTTGCAACTCCTTAAAATAGCTTCTAGTTTCATCTCCTTTTAGGATTTTGCTTCTTTCTGCTTTGTACAACATTGAAAGAGAAATTTATTGATAAAAATTTCACTAAAATAGGAGAGAATATGGTTTTATAAGCACGAGAGGTTGATATCATCAAAGACTAATGCAAAATTTGGCCAATCATGCAACTTTCATCACTTGAAAGTAGTTGAAAGGTGTTTGAATATGAGCAGTGTTAGAACATGAGCAGCCTACTCTTATTATTATGCTTTTATTATGTTTTAAGTCTTTGGGGAGTGGAATAGTTTTAGACCTTTTATGTCTCTTCCCAATACTTGTTATCTTCCTATATAATGTCTTGTAATGTGTTGTTCTTTCTAAGATGGAATAACAAGCAGATAGTTCATGTTCCTTTTAGTTTACTTTTCAACATGGTATCTGTAACACCCCGAAATTTTAAAACTTTTAAGACTTATATAATAAGGGTAAATTCTCATTAAATCCCAAAACATAACATAAGAGTACGGGGTGCTATGCCACACCTGAGCTAGAGAACTCAGGTGCACAGGCTAACTAACTAAAATCCTCAATAATGTCAATACATAAGCATGGCACGCAGGCCGAAAGGGAAACTATCTATTCTACGCTCCAAGCCTCTAGCGCGCTCCAGTGTCTACTCATCTGTGCCTGAAAGCCAAATATATCTGTTCAGCGAGAGATGCTGGTAACCCACTCCAACGCGTTGAAATACATTATAGATAGATATATATAGATATACGAAAATCATTTCGAAGCAGGAAGATATATACTTAAGAGACACTAGTTTTAAAACCAGGAATAGACTTAGCAAATAGGGATGAGCACATCAAATAACAATAAGCATTTAAGTAGAGATAACATCACAAGGAATACACATCTCGGGTCACTGATCACTTTCCAACTCCAAACACATCATCATCCAATCAACATTCATGTCACATCATCATTGCATCACCATGCATATCACATCATCATTGATGGCGCCACGGGACTAATCGCATGCCCCGAACATGAGGGTCAATGCATATAGCATTAACATGGCCCCGCAGCACCCTACCTCAGTACCGCGGTACGAGGGGAGTTGATCGCAACCAACCCTTTGAGAACCGTTGACGAACTCAACGTCGGACCACGATCCTACACATCGCTGACGCACCCAGTCGGTGGACCGCAATCCCCTTTTCAAGGGGGGACTTACGACCCTACACACCGCCGATGGGTACGCCGGTGGACCATAGCGGGTCAAGCCCGACACACCGCGGAGCTATACTCAGTCGGTGGGCGAATATCCTCGGAGACTATGGCCCTACACACCGTCGTCCCATCGCTCGGTGGGTCGCAGCCAGCCGTAGCCCTACACACCGCCCCGATTACTCGGATCAGTGAACTACAGCCTTCCTCGGCTTATTGGCCCTACACACCGTCCTGGCGCGTTCAGGTCCGGTGGGTCATATCACCGAGGCCCATGTGGATCGCAGTCCAAGAAGTGAATCACTGACCGCAGCCAGGAGAATGAACCGCAGCTCATAAGTAACCAACAGTGGACCGCAGCCCTATATAATGTTTATATACCTGACCGATCGCAACCGGCCTAGTTAACAGTTGGGATGGTTCTCAACCCATCCAACTGCCCGTATAGCCAACTTGATCGCAACCAAGTTGGGGAACCATGCATCACATAACACATTAGAGCACATAATAGCACATTAGGAAGGGGAGACATATAATAACACTTACGTGTGATTAATCACATACTAAGAATCGACCTAAGGGGTTCATACGTCTTCCACCTAGGTCAACGGGCTACCAATTCAACTAGCATGCAATTCCTAAGACTCATCTAGCCTACGAATGGAACCCGAAACATCAAACTAGACTCAAGCACGACAAACGGGGTCCGTTGGGACACCACGGGGAATGGGGAACATCAAACGGGGAAGCCGGGGACCCGGGGTGGGGTACGGACCAGCGGGTAGCCGGTGGGTGGGGGTCACCCGCCGGCTGCCCGCCGGAGGGCACTGTTCCGGGTAGCGAGTTGCCGGCGGGCAGTCGGCTGCCCGCTGCCGGGCAGTGCCCCTTTGGGCAGCGGGTAGGTGGTGGGTTCTCCTACCCCCCACTGACTCTTTTCTCATATATTCGTCCCGGGAATCTTTGTGGAACCTGAAACCATGCTTAGACACTTTTAAACGCAAATAACGACACCACGTAAGCAATTAACGGATCAAAAGCAAGAATCATGTAGGACTTGTCCTATTACGACTTCTAAATATAAACAACACCCGAACATGCGAATTCCCACCCAAATATAAATCAAGAACATCACAATACAAATTCCCAATCCAACCTAGGGCTCTAATCCCACCCAAATCATCAAGAACATATTTTATCTTTAACATCAAGAAAATATCAAGATTCGTCAAGAATCATCACATCATAATCAAGAACCTCTTTTTAACATCAAGATCATCAAGATCATCAGGAAAGCATATAAATCATTCTATCAATCATCAAGAACATAACATAATTATCATAGAAGAATTCAATCAAGAGACAAGAATATAGAAGGGGGCCAAGGAAGGAGATTATAGCGAAGAAAATAGGTTTTGTTGAGACATGGGTTACCTCTTTGCCTTAATTAATTTCCTTGGCTAT